CTGCACACGTGTTTGATAGAGAATAGCTTTGTGATGTTGCCATCATTTGAATAAACGCTGAAGTACTGATACACATTAGATATGATACTTTTTAACTGTGAAATGTCACTCTGTCACTTTTTTTGAAATGATCTACCTACAAACCCTGCGTCTGGTAAGCCCACAGCAAGCAGCACACTCAAACTCAGCTTTTTTGGCTAGAATTTGCATGACACAAGGACAGGGGCCGTGACATCCCTATACCACTATTATTGTTACAACTTCCTGCTATTAGAGGCTCTCCTGCCCGTCCAGCCTTTCAACTCTTCAGTGTGGATGTGAACTGCAATGCTGTTATGCTCCAGTTCAGAAAACCTTGGCATTTCCTCTGCTTGGGTGCGGAGGCAGCTGTTGTTGGAGATGATTCTATGTCCAGTGGGGATTTGCATGTGTATGTGTGTGTGTGTGTATGTGCGTAACAGCTAATGGGGATTTTCTCTTCTTTTACTGAAACTTCTTATCCAGTTGTGACAGACCTTTTGTTCAGTTTCCTGCTTTCCTGACAAAGTTTAGACCCACTGGTTTCCTTAAACTAATAGTTTAAGTGTGAGTGACAAAGTGCTGAGTGGCCCAGTCACAAAAACATCCTCTATGAGTTTCTTACATTAGTCTTTAATTCAGAATCCACTCATGGATGTGTCTCTTTCTTTTGCAAAAATCAGTGACTCTGCTTTTTAGTGGCAGAAATTTGTTTTGCTTTCTGTGTTATGCAATTATAAGTGGAAGAGTTCATTACACGTAGCCATGGATAGCTTCAAATCTCTCCTGGAGTGCATCAAGGCTTGCGTGGCAGGTTTATGTGTCCTTCGACCCGATGGATGGTGTGAAAAGGTCAGAGATGCATTTGGAGTTAAGGGGTCACAGCTTGAGCTTTTTTCCACCCGTTTTTTCTACACTTCAGGAGTAACATGTTTCGCATTAGCGGTGACGGAAGACTTTTAGAGGTAAGGACCTGCATGCCCACTCATGTGCGATAGCGTGCTGCCAGATTATTAGTGTCTGTACACTTGCAATGATTTTAAATCGTCTGTTCATGTCATAAATACAGCCTTGTGTTGTAAATGTACTTTTATACAATAAGAGCTGCAGGCATGTCTCCAACCTTTTAACTTCCCTTTGCACTATATTTCATACAAGTCAGACCTTGCTGAATATGATCCTATTTTCTATGCAAATCATTAAGTGTATTAAGCTTGTTCATGCAAAGTTGTTCAAGAAGTTTGTCTTCTTCTCTGACAAATGTTTCACATCTTCAAAGGTTGTCTGATAAGTGTTCATCAGGCACTTATTATTTTTATTATTACAGTGGATCCATGACAGTTTAGAATCTCTGTCTCACCTCTTCTTGCAGTAGCAATGATCATTTCAGTATTTCATTTCAGTTTTGCTCATTTTTGATACTGAGGTGAACATAGGTGAGGCTCACGAATTGCAGTGATGAGTGGAACTGAGTAAAAGTTACACAGGTCATACTAAGTGATATGTCAGTGAGGCACATGCATATATCTAAAAGCTGAACTCCGACATGGTGTAACATTAAAAGATAAGTGAGGTTGATTCAGTTGCCTGGCGAGTTTTACGAGCTAAGTAAATGACTGAGCCAGGTAGAAGTTGGAAACAAAATAAAAGATGGAGTGTTTTCAGCAAATGCACTTGTTGTTTGTCTGAGAAAAAGCGAGAATAGTAGAGCCAGAGCTCGGCACGTGTTCTGTGAATCTGGATGTCTTCTCTTTGGGCTTCAAGCTGAGGTCACTACTCAACTATGCGCCTTCACAACAACCTTGAGATATCTTTCCCCTGGGCTTCAGTGTGAACACCAACGTGTGCATGAATCTAAATGTCCATGCACGTGTTTTGTTCAGTTCTAAATCACATTGTCACTTTTGCAAAGGCTTAAAACAAGCGATTTTCCATATTGACCTGCTATTTTCTCTTTACTTTGTCTCACTAGGAATAAGATTCAGACTTCTTCATCGGTTCAACATTACCTTACTTAACTGAAATACAGCACTGTGCAAAAATCATGTACCACAGCTTATTTCTTTTAATTTTGCAATGCAGCAATTTAATAAAACGCGTCTATGCATACATGAAAATATGGTATATATGAAGAAAAACAGAATTGATACAATTCTAACAAGCTTGAAAGTCAATGTTTGATATGACCACTTTTATTTTTCACTTGAACTCTGAGCTCTCGTGTAGTTTCTTTGAGAAGTGTTTGGGAATAGTTCTCCAGGCTGATGTTAATGAAGAATGGCTTCTTCAAAAATCCCCAAGAATGGCTTCTTGACACACATCCTTCCAGTGAGACCATTTCACTGACCATACTTCAGTGAACAGCAGATGATTGAACTGAAGGGTTAGATGCAAGATGTCTACTGTGGAAACTGTTCATCTGCTGTACATATATATATTTATTAGGGCTGCTACTTCTTCTGTTGTCCTCATTTACCAAGATAGCCCAAATTTCTGGCTAATAGGTCTTTGTGAATCACCCTGTTAGTGCAAAAATGCGGTTTTATTTCTCTGAAGCTGAGGTGTCTTTGTGTCAAGTTGCTACTAACAAAATGCCCAAAGATACAATTTCACAGTGGTTGTTTGCCAAGTTGTCTGCTATCTGGACACAGAACTGGTTCATCCCTTGAGTCAGGTGTCTTTTCTCTCTTTGGATGATGCATAGATCATCAAAACAAACATTTTGGGAAAAAAATCTAAAGAATCAATAGTGGCTTATGACTTTTGGACGTCAAGCCTAAACAAATGACAGGGCTTTGCAGGACCATATAGGGACCATACGTTTGTGTTTAAAATTGATTTCCATGACTGCTTGCCGAAATAAAATAGCTCTTAAGTTCATCAACAGTGTGAGAATGATATGGGTTTCATGAAATTTGCTTTGAGAGGCCCTGATTTGAAGATGTGTTTAGGAATTTGGGAGGGGGTGGGAGTTTTGTCTAAGAAGCAGACCTTGGGGAGAACTAGATATATAAATATACATGAAACATACTCTGAGGAGGGCGAAATAAGGAATGTGCCATCACTCAATCATTGTAAGTAAATTAAGTACATTTGGTAGTAAAGGTTTTCTGCATTAAAAAAAAATAAAATTATAATATAATGTAAGTGAGATAATAATGTAAGTGTGTCATTGAATATTTAAAAGCTTAAAAGCCCCAACACCCACATTTGATTCACAATAGAACATAAAAACATATCAAATGTTTCCACTGACGCATTTTACTTTTTCGTGAAACATATTAGCAGCAACATGTCTCAAAGAAGTTGACAAGCGGTCAACAAAAGATTGAAAAAGTGAAGTCACTTGGCTGCAAACTTTAGACACAGTTTGCATATGCATATGATCAGTTTATAAAAGTGAAGATTTTAACCTTTGGTCCACTAGCAGTTGAGGTGAAGACCCAAGTCAATCAGTTTGTGCTCTTCTCCGCTGCACAACAAGGCATTGTGCTATTAAATACATCTCATCTTATCTGCTGCAAGAGAAGCCAAGGAAATGAGAGCCAGATGTGGTGATGTCAGCACACGTCTGTGACTCTAAAGTAGTGCTCAGTGATGCTGTGGTGCAAAAGCAGGGGCAAAGTTTGTGGGAAATATGAACACAGCCCACAGCTGACATGGCATAAAGGTCTGTAATCAGTGTTCAGAGTGATGCTGGTGACCGTGGAGGTTGAGGTTGCTGCTACAAAAAGCTCATAAGTTCCTTCGTTTTATAAGAAGATGAAAGGAGAACTGATACACGTCATTGGCTGTTAAAATTTGTTGGTAGACAGCTTGACTGGTGAGTTTTAAAA